GATCTTAGTTTTAATCCAACCCCCCTATTTTATTGCTTTTATAATTTCAATTAATACAAAAATATCACAATTTGATTCACACTCCCTGTGGGTTCGACCATTGTTCGCCACTACTACTAGTTAGTAGAGGTTAGTTAAGGAAAATATAAATTTAATTTTGCCGCGTTGCGACGCGCGGTCATCTTACCACTGTAACTTTCAACCTGAATTGGTCCCATCAAGTCCATATGAATCAGTTCCATTACACGGTTTGTACTGACCTCTGTCAACCTCTTATGCGAAGCCCTTTTCTGTTTGCCCATTTTGCATAATCCGCAAACTCGTGGTTCTTCCTTCTTTAGCTTCGGCAATCCTCGAACAGCCCCTGTGGAAGAGAGTTCAATCAGGTGAGGATAATTAATGTGACCTAGCTTTTGATGCCAGAGTTCAGTCAGATCAATACTGGTTTCATTACATTTCAAATCAAGTTCCACAAGATAACGGTTATCTCTGAACCTAGTACCAGTAAGAACATGTTTATTTTCTTGATCAGACACATGAAACTGAGTTTTAGTAAAGTTCACATACAAACCCTGATCACATAATTGACTGATACTCAAAAGATTGGCTTTCAAGTTTTGGACCAAAAGAACATTTTTAAGTTTGGGCAGACCAGGAACATTCAAACACCCAATTCCATGAACCTTATTTACTGCCCCATCACCAAACGTGAATGAACTGGAAGAGACAGGCATAATATTGGTTAAGTTAGATCTCAAACCTGTCATATGACGAGAACATCCACTATCAAAATACCAGTCAGAGTTGGATGTGGATTTTAAAGCAAGTATGAAAGACAGACAGACGTTCTTACATTCCTTAGGAACCCAAATTTTTTTCTGCTCATGATTTACTATATCAACTTTCAATTTAGGTGCTTTCATGGGAACACCATGAGGACTCCAGTCATTAATTTGACCCGTGTAAATATCATTATGCATTCTATAACACTTGAGACGAATATGACCGCGAATCCCACAGTAGTGACAGACTGGTACAAAGCTTTTACCAGTATTCTTGTACTGAGCCTTTGGAGAGTATGGCTTACCTTTCTTGGAGTCAATTGAGTATCCTTCTTTAATAAAAGTTAGGTCAGCCTTACTCAGTGATGAGGTTGACTCTCCTACCTTTCCTTTCAGTTTCTGGTTCTGGACATTCTTACTTGTGTTGGATGAACCAATTTGCTGACTCAGTTTTTGAACTTCAGCATACGATGCCCTGGGCTTGTTGATCATTCGGACAACTTCTTCACTCTTACTAAGCCTTTCTTCAAGGGTAGAACAGTGACTCCGAAGTGCTACATGTTCCTCCATTACATGACCGAGTTCTTCCTTGAGAACAACTATTTCAGTTTCTCTTTCACCTGCAAGATTTTGCACAACAAACAATTCGTTACGCAGAGATTCAATGGTAAAACTTTGTTCTTTACATGCCTGTTTGTTGAGTTTATCCCCATGCTCAACAAGTGCAAGTTTTGCGAAACAACTGTTTAGTTCCTTGTCTTGTTTTCCTATATGAAGGTCTGATTTGATGAGTTTCTCATTCAGGTCAACAGTCATTACCCTCATCTTCTGAAGTTCTTTCCGGAGATACTCAATCTCCTTTTCACGTTCGGCAGAACGTTGTTCTATATCCTTCATCTTCTGTTTTTGAGCCTGGTACTTGTTGATGATATCCCTTGCCTTGAGACACTTTTCGATGGCATACTTGTGGAGTACAAGATTTTCGGCAGCATGATCCAAAAATTCATCAGAGTCCATCTCGCTCAAGTTTTTAGCGTAAGAACCTGCATCAGATTCAACATCAGTCAGATGAACAGAGGAAGAAAAACAGTTATATTCATTAAGAAGACATTTAGCAGAGTTATTTGAGTAGATAGAATTCTCAGTCTTCTCAGATTCTTGCTCCTCGTCATCACTGGAGTCAGACCATTTAGCCTTGAACGTCTTGTTCTTCTTCATGAAGTTAGGACATTCTTTTTTAAAGTGCCTGAATCCTTTGCATTCACGACACTGGTCTTTTTCTACTTCTTGGTTAGAATTCTGAAACCTGTTCAGTTGCATGCCAGATCTCTTTTCTCCAAATTGCTGAATTTGGTTCCTACCACCTTCAAAGGACCTGTTGCCCTGGAATCTCTTTTTCTGAAATTTTTTTAGCTTTGAGACATTCTTAGTGAGCACGGTGAGAGCCTTTGTGATTTCATCAGGATCAAAAGATTCTTCATTGGATTCGTCATCCTCACCAACTGTGGTACGAACCTTGGCCTTTAAAGCTAGCCCTTCCCCTTTGCTTATCCTCGTAGAGTCAAAGCCATGGTTGATTTCAAAGGTGCGCAGTTTACTGAGAAGATCATCAATGCCAAGTTTCTGAATCCTCTGAAAACTTTCTAGTGCAGTAATTTTGATCCCAAATCTGTCCGGTAGAGTTCTCATCAGTTTCTGAACTTGTCTATCTTCAGGAACCGGCTCACCAAGCATTGCACTTTGATTAACCAGGTCGCAAAAATGAGCATAATACATGTCAATGGTTTCATCCTCCCTCATACAGATCTCATCAATCTCAGTTGGGACTCTTTGGAGCTTTGACGTTTTAACCGCATTCGTGCCTTCAAACTGTCTCTCCAAGATCCTCCAAGCTTCTTGAGTGGTAGTGCACTGAATTATTATCATGTGCCAGGTGGGATCTACAACAGACATGATAGCATATAAAGCTCGAAAATTACTTCTGCTTGCTTTTCATCGTCGGTCCAGATGCTCCTTGGTTTTTCAACCAGTACTTTGGTAGTTGTCGACTTCCCATCCGATGACTCACCACCCTTAGTTTCAGCAGGAACTTTTTCTTGGAGGGGTAAAGTCCAACCATTCTCAACAGCCTGCCATGTGCCTTTACCAAGAGATCGAAGGAAGATCACCATCATGGATTTCCAGTACAAGTAGTTGGAACCATCAAGAAACGGAGGGCGCGTGACAGACATCCCATCATGACTCATGGTGCCCGATACACAGTCCCGAAGATCTTTATCCCGTAGTTAGAACAGGAACACTGCTCTTTGTCCAATTGAAACGTATAAATATCACGGAGTGCGCTGATTATAGTACGAACCAAAAACAAGAACTGTAGAATGCGGAAGCAATAAACCAGAGATTTAAAAAAACTCTTCAGGGAAGCATCTCACTTCCCCTTAGAGCTCTTTCATTGATAGATCAAACACGAACATAGTTTGGACTTACAAAGACTCGAACTCCCTTCAAGCCTAGCCAACACTACTCAGATCCTATCAACTATTTCTCTGGCCACGTCCCGTGGACTTTAATATTCTACACTTACTCCCTAAGTGTATAGACTGTAAAATAGTTTTGGATGAAACACAAAGAACTAAACAAAAACAGCTTCAGTCTTTGAGTGTGTAAGCACTCTCGGACTGAACTGTGTACAACTGAAATTAAACCGAAAATACAAAGCTCAATTATTGCTCTAAAATCTCACTAACTTCAGCAGCCGCAATAGGAGCTTCCTCTAGGGTATTTATATGAACTCCTTAGGGTTGGAGTCTTCTACAAGGCATAGGACTCCAAGATTGATTTCCTTCCATAAAGATAGCATATCTTTGGCAAGTAAATCTTCTATTCTCTCTCCTTGATCTCATATCCATGCACGCCTCTTCTCTTCTTTATCTCCTTTACGTCCGATTTCCTACAAAATAAAATACCATAATAAGATCCATCATATCTTATATATGGAATATAAAATAATCTTAATTAAAGAAATAAAATAATTCAAGATCTTCCATTTTTCTGTAGTTCCTGATGCTTGTTCAAACTATCGAACTAATGCCAAAATAAAAACATCTTTCAAATCATCATCATCATGTTACGTACTCGATATTTTTGTCGTCTCACAATTGCATGAAATATTAAGCAAACCGAAAAAGTTGTAGAACTTGATGAACATTCGGTTGTTGAATGCAGATATCAATACTTACTACATAATAGGACCTCGGTCAAATCTTTCAACAATCTGAAAGGAAAGCAAACTTACATGCTTTGGATCACTTGCTCAAACAATGAAATTCTCTTAAGCGCTTGGAAATTCGTTTCCAAATCAATACATTCATAATACATTCATACGTAAATACTTCAAAGACGGATATAGGAATTACTCCGTAATAAGAGGACTTCCGGTTGATGATGAACTTGTTCTCTTCTTATCCTCTCCAATACTCAAGAATTCCTAAAAAAAGTATCTCACAATGTCAAATTCATGCTCTTTGAACCATATCGACTTAATTGTTAAAGTTCTTAGACATGCTAATAATGTATTTACAAAATAAACCTGCCGACAGTAAAAGGAGCATAACAACAAAATGAGTAAAACATAAGTTGGACCTAATGTTGTAAGAATACCGAGAAATAGCTAAAGACAAATTTAATTGCATCAACAATAAACTCCACTTACAATAAGGACTAGAAGATTGTCGGCAATTTCAAGGAACTTTACAAGCAAACTCCATTTGAAGATAAACTCCACTTACAATAAGGACTAGAAGATTGTCGGCAATTTCAAGGAACTTTACAAGCAAACTCCATTTGAAGTTCAATCTGAGTTCAAGTTTAGTTAAATTATCATACTTTACAGTTGAACAAGCAACTCCTCTGTGAACAAACTGAATATATTAATAACCACATTACGCATATATATAACAAAGCCAAAAACTAATTGCACAAGAGAACTAAAGAGATGGAAGAATCAAAACATACCTCCTCAAGTTCCACAAAACATCGAGAATCACATCACATTACACTGATGTATGAATAAAAAAGTAGATTATAAACAAAGTCTCACTACGCAGGCACAAACAGTCATCCCCATGAGCATGAAGACACTAACTAACACAGAAAAAACATATTATAATTAAAGAAAGCCCGCGACTCAAATCCAAAGTCGAAAACCCAGTTGTCACATCATGACACCACCATCGCATCCTCACTAAACATATACTGACTCTGATACTCCATGAGATACTGCGTGGACCTCTTCACATCGTAAAATAGCCCGTAAACCCTGCTCACATCCTCCATCTCCACAACCTTTCCCTTCCTCTTGAGGCAGGCAAGCGCAGAAGACGTTATGAGATTGATAGCGTACCTCAAAGACGTGTCCTCGGCTATCCTAGTCAGCAAAACCTTGGCATCCTCCGACATCTCCACATCCTCTTCCGCGCACCTGATGTCCAGAATCCTCCGCATCTCGTCGGCCGTGTAAGGCCTTGTGGAGATGATGAGTAGGCGATCGAGGAAATCAATGGGGATGCCGTGTGGGGACCTGTAGTGGGTCCCACGGATTTGGGTGATGCCTCGGTTGGTGGCCACAACGAGGATGGGTGCCATGTCATTCTCCAGGGCTCGGTTTAGGAACGAGAAGCACTCGATGTCTAGCATGTGGACCTCGTCAATGAAGACTACTCCCGGGATTATCTCCGCCTTGCCTTCCTCCCGCCACTCCGCCACCTTTGTGTCGATTTGTTCGCGGACCTCCGCTCGGATCTCACCCGTGTCCCCCGTGAAGAGGGCCAAGAACCCCTGTGTTCTGTGGTATGTGCAATTTTAAGATATTAACACAACCAAAATAGTACCAATTAAAACAAAATGGAAATAAACCAACTCTCTATCACTATCACCCTTTGTATCTCAATTTAATCGTTGTAAAAAGGCTCACACTGTCCACAACTACAACTAGTTATTTTCACACCTACACCAAACCAAAGAAAGACATGAATTGAAGAGAAATGCTTCATTCTTGTGCACCACCAAAGAGGTTGCAGAAAACAACTAGCTTTTTCAAATTGCAAAAATACAGTCAAGAAGCAGACAGACTTGTATCATATATGGGGCCACCCATTACTGCCTTTTTTTTCCCTTGTGTTTGTGTGAGAGAGCAGGAAAGAATGATTCTACTAGATAATTCAGGGGAAATGCGAATTTGGTTCAATCAGCCAGTGAACTCAATATAGAGGCGAAATTCATAAAGGATTCCATACTTTCAGAAGACCCAAGCAGACCCCAAATTCATGTAATTAGCAGAAAAATACAAAGCACCAAGAAGTTTACTACCTGCTGTTGATAACGTCTATCTCGTGAAGTGTGACACAATGCACAACCTCCTTCCTCTTCTGCAGCTCCCCCTCCGGACATTGCACAAACTTTGTCTGTGGACCCATGGCATCATAATCCCTAGACCTCGAGAATGACCTCCCCAGCTTCGTAATCTTTCCAGAAGCCTTGTCGATGGCAATCACATCGCCACTCTGCACTTTCTCCTTCCCCAAGGCCTCAATCATTTTTGCCCCCAGATCGTACACGGTCTCCATCTCCGTCGTCTTTAAAGTCAACTTTCCGGTCTTGGATGCGGCCCCCGCCACCGCTGGCCGGTCGATCTGGATCTCCACAACCTCTCCCTCGATAACCTCAGTCTCCTCCTTGATTCTAACCCCAATAGCCTTCCTGAAGACCTGCATCAGAGCTTCGGTCTTGGACATCTCGAGGGAGAAGAGCTCGCTGCCGGCGAGCATGGCGAAGGGGGTTTCCTGACCTAGGGATTTGGCCATGCCCATAGCGATTGCGGTTTTGCCTGTGCCGGGCTGGCCGGCGAGGAGGACAGCTCGGCCGGCGATTTTCCCCTCCTGAACCATCTTAACGATGACACCGGCGGCTTTTCGGGCAGAGGTCTGGCCAACCATGCCCTCGGATGAGGATCGGGCCTCGAGGGCGGAGTCTAGGCCAAGGCCGCGGATGTGGGAGTGAGCACCTATTCTCTCGATTCGTGTTAGGTCACGCATCTCTGAGAGCTTAATCTCTGCCATGGCTGAGCGGAGAACTTGGGGGAAGCCTGAGAGGAGAACTTGGGGGAAGCGGGGAAAATGATACGGGGTTTAGGGTTTTATTAGGGTCAGGGGGAAATAACAGCTTGACCCCTATAATTTTTGTATATTGTTTATCCTACCATGTAAATCAAATTATTACAAAAACCAATATGTTGGCCTAAATTAATTTTGTACTGGAACTGTAAAATTTAGTTGACATTAAGGGGGTGATTGGTTATGAATTCAACTAGTAAAAAACTGATTTTTTTTAATTATAGTTAAGTTTGGAAAAAATAGTATGATTAGTTGTTAGTGAATATATTAAAATAATATTTAAATTAAAATAATTAAAGTTGATTGATGTAAAAGTAGGAGAAAATGATTGGAAGTGATGGTTAGTTAAAATTATGTGAGTAGATGAATAGTGAATTAAAATTGATGTGATGTGTAATAATGATTGGTAGATATTATTTAATTATATTGATAATATTGGAGATAGTGGAGTTGAGTTAAAATTGAGTTAAACTTGAATTTTGAGTAAGATATATACTGTACCATTCATAAACAATCACGCCCTAAATAATAGATTGAAATATAAATCTTGGTTCATTTTTTTTTTTTTTTCAATGTTCGACTTTCGTTTTTGTAATTTAAGTATTATTACTGTTTCTTTTATTTTTATTAACAGATCGAATTAAGACAATCTTCTCGATTTATTAGTTTTTTCAATTAAATTTGATTCGATTTTTGAGCAGCTCAACTTAGAAGGGCTCGTGTACTCAACCAAAAAGATTCGTGCATTTAGCATATGTCGATGGTTTGGACTTACACTCCCGCGCATCAGAGGCTCAATGTAATTGAGAAAGCGAGCCGCCTGTAAGTGAGACAGCTAGCAATCCATCAAATCCTGTGAGAAAACCATTTCAAGCCCAGCATAAGTCTTACGACCATATTTCATACATTTGCCTTCGATGTTGGTGCATAGGAGGGATATTAGGTAATAGTTTTCAGGCCACGCCAAGTGAGCTCGAAGTATCCTCTGAGATGCAAAATGGAGAGCTTCTGCGCTTAAAAGGTTCATACAGAAGCAGAACCGACTTGAATCTTCACTACCCTCCTTCGGATTTGGAGCCATATCATATATCCCTTTTTTCTGTAGGAAGGAAGCCCGAAAGCTTCTTCTCTTTCATATGCTACATCGCTCCCTGAACTCGCATTCGTCTTGTCCTTCTCTTTGCTCCAACTGCCGTGGAATCTCTTCCAACTGGTACGATGCCGATCGTGGAAGTGAAGACTCGAATTTCACACTTGGGCTTTCACAATCATCATCTCATGCAGACGAATGGATTTTCTATTCTGGATACACCTATCATATGTCTACCACAAGGGAGTCCTTCTTCAATTTGAAAGAGCTCAATGGAGGAGTCGTCTACATCGTGTATATTTGACTTTCATTATGAACTGATAATAGAAGGAAAGTGGGATGTGCTTCGCTTCTAAAGTTGGCCTGCGCCTCATCAATTATGATATGAAATTCCTTTCTC